AATTTTTTTAATGGACTTGGGCTGGGCTTGAAAATGATTAAATTTAGATTATTTAAAACAGTTGCTAATTTAAAGAAATATTGCCTTTTTTCTTCTAATAATAAATTTCAGTATTATAAACAAAATGATTGCCTAAATATATTTAAATATTAAAAAAAAATTTTTGGATATGGGCTTGGCCCGGTTTGGGAAATTGTTTTGAAACTTATCATGGGCTTGGGCCGGACTGGGAATTTTTTTTAACATTAGATATGCGCTAGGCTTGTGCCTAAAAAATTTTTTTTACTACGCTATAAATTTTTAAATATGTAATATAGGTAATTTTTTTACCGTTGTGCAACTGCACAATTTTGTATCCTCTGCATGCCCCCATGATGGATGACCAAAGAATCACAGAAAAAAGTCTAAAGATTTAATATTAAATTTTTTTAAACACCATAATTTGACACCCATTAAACTTTGAATGATTTTAAAAAAAAATAAGATTAAGATTATAATATATTTGCAGATTATTTTCATATAAGTGTTTTTTAAAATGTATAACCAATGGGAAGGTTTAATTTAGCTAAAAATGTGTTTAAGTATAAACGAGGATGCCTCACTCAAGAAAACTTTGTGAATATTCTATTATTAAAAGCAAAATTAGCAAAAATATTTTATATATTTTACATAAATAAAATATCAAACTAAAATATTTTGTTCACTTTACCAATAGTTTTCAGCTTTCGACATATCTGAATACATTTTTTTAAGTGTACATCTATATACTTACATACCTTTTTAGTTCTGTATATCACACATCTGAAAAGTATATTTTAACAATTCTGATCTATATTCCACCAATCATATAACATAATTAAAGTAAAAACGCTCATTCTATAAAAACGGAAATCTACAAGTTTCCCAAAAACATGAATTATATTTTTTTTAAATATTAATTTGAATTTTTTGTTTTAAAATTCCTTGGGTTCTGATGTAAGGGATCTTATTTTTTCGCCTATATTTTTTAAAAATTAAAATTTCCGCTTGACACATGTCTAAGGGAAGAAATAACGATTGGTAAAAAAAAACAATTTGTTAATTTCGATTTTATTTTTTTTCGCGGCTATATCAACTAGTGTTGTTAAATGGCTCGTTTTGAGCCGATTTTTAAAAACAACTCAATATTTTATTCAGAAAAATATTACGCAGGACTGAAGATTTTGTTCTTAGAAGGAACAAGTGTCTAGACATATATTATCGGTATCTCAAGGCTTATTTTTCTGGCTAAAATATTGAGTTAGCCGTTTTAAATATCGGCTCAAACCGATCCGTTTAACAACACTAATATCAACCTGATTAGAATTTACAGTTTTTTGGAAACGAAGAGAAGCATGTGAAGTTTCAAATTAAGACCTAAAAACCAAGGTACAGAAGTTAAAGGCCTTAGGCTCATCTGATGGTAAATTTGCAGGCTCAAGAATGTTTGGTATTCGAGCCCTTATAAGAGAACGGCTAATAACTGAATTATTCACTGCATACCTTTCATGTCTGCCTTGACTATATATACAATTATTAAGAATAAAAAAATAGTGGAATAGGTAAAAACCTAAACCACACTTAATTTTAATAAACCAGCAAATCCCGCTCTATCAGCACAAAATTGCGCTCTTCTATGCAACATCTAAATGTAACAAATTATATTAAAATGGGTTTTAATGAACTATTTGTCATTTAAAACGTTTCTGAAGGTGTAAGTTTAAATATCTTAACTCATCAGCGGAGTATCGAACCTTTTGATAACAGGATCGGTTCAGGTTCCAAAAAGAAATGATAAAAGTTTAGACTCGATACAGGAATTAAATAAGATTCAGATTCCTTCAGGTCAAAAATCTTTACTGAAGGTTCATTAAGGTTCAAAATATTATTTTTATAAAGAGTATCTATATCGAGCTCTATAAATAATTTTAACTTTGTTTTATGATAAATATATAAAAATAAAATACAATTTAAAGTTAACCCAGAATTATATTATCAATTTTTATTTGTATATAAAAATGTATAATTAAAATATCCTCCAATATATCTCCGATTAAACTTGTTCTCTGTGCCGACAAATTATACTTCATTCCTGAAAACGATCTTTTGGCTAAAACCTTTGACAAGATAAAATTCGGGTCGCTTTTTTTTATTAATCCGTTATGGTATCTATCAGTGCTGTAAACTTAAGGTCTGTAATGGACGGTTTATCAGGCAATATTTGAAAATTTTTTTAATCCGCCCGCCTAACACGCCCATAGTTTTTAAAATAATATACCCGCCCTCCCTATAGTCTAAAATATTTACCTGCTTACCCCCCCCCCACCATTAATTTAAATTTTTTACCCGCCGGCCCATTATTTATAAAAAATTTTAACCCACGCCTCTCATATAAAATTTAAATAAACTCATTCTTTCAATTTTTTTAAGCATCTAACAAAAAAAATTCAGTTATAGCACTACTTAGGAAATTGCTATATTAAGCATAAAAAAATATTCAATTTAAATCACGGATAAGGTATTTATTTGATCTAATAAAATATTTATGTATTAATATAAAATTAAGAACTAAAAAAAACCTCTACTCAAGTGAGATATTTAAATAAAAAGTGATACATATAATAAATAAAAAATTTTTTAATTAATTGTTTATAAATTGTAAACTTAAACTAAACTAAGTAGCCTAAAATCTTTCTAAATTATACAAAAACTCCTCATTTTAAGATTTTAATATTTTGTTATGTTGTCATTAGGTAATCCTCTCCTCTGTATCAGCCATATATTATTTATTATCTGTTGTAATTTAATTTTGAAGTGGATGCTATCTATCTATTTCATACATTGCATTTATAATCTTTACAATTTAATAATCTTTAAAGGAATTATCTTTGCTTTTGGGGAAACTAATAGAATAAGATTTTGATTCACGTTGATGTTATATTCTTCCATGCAAATCAAATCCAAAATATTTTCGATATATTTTTACCTAATTGTTTTCTTCCGACAACAATATTCTCAGATGTAGGTACTTTGGTATGAAATTTCTGGTAGCATATTTTTTTTTGCTTACTTAAATGATTTTAAATAACAAATAAAAGTAGTAAATTTTTGACTCGCCAGACTCATAACCCCCACCCGATCACCTATTCTATAAAAATTTATAACCCGCTCGCCCGCCCAATTAGATGGGCGAAAAAAAACGCGTTACTCTTTACGTTTGAAAAAAAACTCTTTACCTTGTGAAAAAAGGAACACGTTACTCGCTATTCAAGAAAAGTAACGGTTACTCTTTACTAAGCAAAATAAATATTATATATAAATTTTTTCTTCACAAATAATATATAAGAGAACTTTTTGTGTTTTTTTTTTATTTTTAACAACAATTGATTTTCAGAATTTTATCAGATAAATAAGAGCGCTTAGTGCTCAACACTAGCGATCTGCAACGCGCCTTAATTTTTTTAAGCCCGCCCGAACTTTTTTTAAAAAATTTGTCCTGCCCAGCCCGATCCTGATCGAAATTTTTTTTACAACAAAAATGTAATAAATTAAATAAAAATGAAGAACTTTGGTGGTTGATTTAAATAAAAAACTCAGCTTAATTTTTTCTATAAAACAAAATATAATATATAATAAAATAAAAAATATATTTTCCATATTTTCTTTGAAAAAATTCGTTTATCATGACATGTTGTACTCATTATGGGATAGGGGGGGGGGGGTGAATCTTTTGTTTTCCTCTTGGTTAAACCTTTGGATGGATAATATCGATAACAAGCCTTTGACATAAAAGTATAATTATTTAAAATAGGTCTTTTCGTGGATACGTATACCGAACTTTTCGATAAAGTCTAGGGCCTTAAAGTTAGCGTAAGACAAAATATAAACAAATTAGTAGGAAGAGTCAGAACTATATTTGAAAATTTTACTTGATTCTTCGAGGACAAAGATATCTACGGTTAAATAGAGATATGATCGACAAATGTTAAATTCCAGTAATGGGATTACCCCCTCAAAGAATTTAAAAAATTTATCAGAAACCATCGGTTCTAATACCGTTGAGCCTTTAGTCATGGAATGGTTCTAGCCAATTTCAGTTCGCGTGGTTCACGATTCAAACAATACTCACCAGAGACCTTCATGGGCCTTAATTTTTTGACCAAGCCCGGCCTAGGCCCGCACTAAAAAATTTTTTTTGGCCCAAGCCCGTTAGCAACTGTTTTAAATAATCTAAATTTAAATTTAATAATTTTAGGCCCAAGCCCAGCCTAATCCTATTTAAAAAAATTTTAAAAACCCATGCCCGGCCCAGACCCGCTATGAAATATGATATTAGGCCCATACTCGCCGCGGGCCGGCCCGGCCCATGAAATCTCTGATACTCATCCTTTAAATCAACACTAATTTTACTATGTTTGCCAAAGATAGGAAAAATCAATGCCGCAATTTAACCTCAACCCAATTGCTATTATTGATTAGGAAAACACATTCCAATTTTCTTTTGTTATTTAAATAATGATAAAAAAAAATGGTTATTACATACAAATTGCTTATTGTTATTGAATACAATTACGAACACATCTGAATAAATATCGATATAATATAAAAAAATATAATATTTATAATTTCAAAATATTATATTTGAAATCAATAATTTAATCTACAAAGCTAAATATTATAATTTTTAATATTTCCGAAATTAAAATATCCGGATGCAAAATTAAAATTTTTTAAAAAAATATGAATTTAAATTTTACATAAAAATAATTTTTTTATGATATCTACTTGGTTTAAAATAAAATTTGAAATTTTATCATTATTAACCTTATTAATTTCTGTTGATCATTAATTAAGAAGAGCTGAACAAAATTCTGTTTATAATTTAAAGGATAATTTGTATGAATTGAACATTTACTAGAAGACAAATTTGGGAAGAAGATATTTGAACATTAAAAATTATTCATTTTCTAATTACTAATGTTAGAATACAAAATTCTCTTGGAATCTTATAAATATAGGATTTTTTATTATCCTTTTCTAGCAAACTTCCCAAATTAGTAGTTATATGTTTGCTAAGAAGTTATTCGATTTTATATCTGGCCTCTCCTACTCAACATACATGATAATGCTCATTATTTGCACGGATTATGGTTTCACGAATTCAGATTTCCAGTTTAACGATTCGAATATCATTGTTTTGGAAAATAGGTCTGTAAATTCTAAGATTTTGCATGTGACGAATGGCAACTACTTTCGGGCGAATGATAAACCATTTAAAGACGCCGTTGAAAAGAACTTACTTATAAAACCAAAGTCAACACGTTCTTTAAATGATTACCGAGGTGATAATCCAAGCTCATTCCAATTTGCCCTACAAAACATTTATCAGGGATACATTAAATTTTATGGCAAGAACGAATATAAAAGTATAATTGGTTTGTCGATACAGAAAGACAATGTTCAGGATATTCGAAAAGAAATAAATAATAATTCTTTAGAAAAGTCTGATGAAGTACCCATCGAACATGGAATATATGTAAATGACCCAAAATTTAACTATCTTCTAGTCAATCCCCAACCCGATAACGTAGATACTTTTAAAACCCTTGACTTAAATACAATTAAGCCTTCTCACAAGGAATTAAAATTGAACAAAACCAATAAGAAGACGAATAAAAATTACAAAATACACAAATTTTTACCAAGAGGATCTTCTCCTAATATCACCACCAAGTCACCATCTGATAATAGGGAAAAGGAAATTAGAAAATATGAAACTGTCTTCAAAGTCTTCAATTATATTTTTCTGGTCGTTATCATATTTTCGAATATACTAGTGATAAGGGCATATTCGAGGTTTCAAAAATTAAGGAGTATCACCAACCGTTTTGTGATATCGTTAGCGGTGGCCGATTTATGTGTAGGGCTGAGCAGGTCGCTTCAAGAGTTAATTGAATTCGTAGATCCTACTTCAGGATCTAAGCCATATGCTTACAGGTTATTATTTTTTAAAATATCTATTTGATCCGTTTCTCATAGCGAGAATCGCCAATCCTATTTTTGATTATAAATTTTTCGAGATAGACTACATCTGTTCAAATCGAAAAACTTATAACATTATTGATTGTCTATAAGTAATCAGATCCCAGACTTCCTAGGCCAATAACATTGAGATCCCTCTCCTCGGTGACTAAAATAAAGGGTATACTGACTATGTATGTCGACTCTGAGGTTAACTTCTTGAGTTATCATCCCCATCTCCCAACTTAAAATTTTATTCCATTGTCGTATTTTCCCCATGTTAGAGGGCCTGTTATGACTATTATTTCATATACCTAGCGTTAGGCTCCGCTAGCCCTACAGGATTTGGCTTCGACGAATTAGGGCCCTTTTTTAAGGAATATTTCACAGGTTTAAGCCTCTAAGTTGAAAATTAAAAATATTTAACATGAATTCGGTCTTTAAGGTATAAAACCTCCATTGCAATTGATATTTTTTATCAAATTTTAAAAAAAATTAAAAATAGCGGCTATAAAAATATTTATATATTGAATAAATTTATAATTATACATGTTTTGACCTTATTTTATAAATGGTTTCATAGAAAAATTGAAAATATGAGAAGTCATTGAATCTTAAATGATAATATAAATTTTAATTTTAGCTAAAAATTCGATCATAAAAATAATATTAATTATAAAAACATTTCTAATAAATATACCGTCTATATAAAATGCATTTAAAAAAAAAACTATTATTTGAGTTAAGTCAGTATGACTTAAAAATCTATGTTTAGAAATACAGTTGGAAATTCAATGGAACCAAGGTCTATGCCCTTTGCTTAGGATATATCTTAGAACCAAAATATACATCTTGTTTGGGATTGTAGATGCTTAGCTTGTTTTGCCAGATCCTTTTCAACTAACTCCATCACGAGAGCAGAAAACTTAAAATCTATTAAATACCGCCACCTAAAAAACCTACTATTTTTTCCGGTGTATCAGACAAAGCTCTAAGTTTTTTCAAAGCAATAGGGCAACAAAAGCTACGATATATCACAGGCAACCCAAATGAAGGGTTTTACCTAAAGCAAAAAATACTCATCGTATTTGCGTTTTCCAATTGTATTTCCTATTCATGGTTCTTTAATTAAATTTATTTTAAAATATTTCGGCCTGACCTTGTTTGTAATTTTATTTGGCCCGGCCCGGTATAAATCATACCACTTTAAGACTCCATCAGCTGCTGATCTCTGATATAAATATCGTCAGTCATGTAGAATATTCCTCTAAATTTGGTATTTCAGTTCAGGCCTTGTCGGTTATTGTGCTTCCCGTCATAATATAAAAAAATTCTTATACATTATTTTCATATAAAAATTTAATGTTATAATATAAGGGCAACGACAAATTAGGGCATTTATTGATTGAGGCATACATGAATGTTCTTTCTCTTTAAATTTCAAAATATTATAACTACCATATAAAGTAATTATTTATTTTTATGAAAATGCAAACGCAAATATTTTAAAATTTTAATTGAGCTCTATATTTATTATTTATAATAACACAACACACACATTACTAATAATGATATAATTAATTAGCAGCTGAAAAACACATTTAATTATGATTATAATTTATCGTAATAAATTAAGGAATATATCAATTTTCATTTTATTTTTAAAACTACAGCGACTCTCGAAATATTAATGGAAAAATAAATTGCATTTGTTACTTTGGTCAAAAATCTAGCATAACCTAATTCTTAAAATAATTTTTGGTAACTTGATAAATTAATTCAGCAATAAGAAATATTTTCATCATAAGGCTTCTTGACATAGAAAAATTAATACGATTATATTTTATAGGAATATTTAGGATCACTTCAAAACAAACTTGATAAGGATTTAGAAGGCATATACTTAAGATATTATGTCATTTTCTATAAGCGCTATATACTAATTGTGAATAGACTCAAACTAGGCCAAGATGTTTTATCCTAAAAGGTACTATGTTAATCTGCTTCTAATCCCCCCCCCTCATAAGCCAGGATTGAACAGTATCGCTGACATTCGTATTTTTTTAAATCTTTCATGTATCTTGTACCCAAGATAAAATTTTCTTAATCAATTTGCATTCAAAAAGATACAGATATTTTGAAAAATTTATATTTGTTAATTTAAATAGTATTAGGATTCAAAATATCATTTTAATATTTAAATGAAAAATTTGCAGTTTAGATATTTTGAGATAGGGTAGGTATTGTTATATGATCTTGGTCGTCATATATTACTTTGTTAAAGAACTACCATATTATATTGAAATCATCATACATCCATCATTACCTCAAAAATTATGAACCAAGTTATAGAAGATATAATTATGGAGTAGGAATGTGGAAACAATGATGTTACACAAGGAGAATACAATTACAAATATAAAAGATTTTGAAGTCACCCAACATGAACATACCAATAATAAAATTCAGTAGCGTCACTGGAGGGGGGGGGCAGGGGCTCGAGCCCCTTGAAAAATTTGAAGAGCCCCCTCAAAATTTTTAAATACCAAATGTAATTTTGATGTTAGCTAAAAAAAAAGAGGTAATTTTGGATAATGTTAGTTAAAAAATTTTGGAAATAAGACTTCTCTGATAAAATTACTGCAAAGTGTAATAAATTCTACAAATTATAAGTGGCTATGCAGACTCGTCATTTAATTTCATCAAGCATCTAAAATTATATATATAATTTAATTAAAAATCACATTTATAATGATATTCTTTCATATTGAATATCAAATCTTCATTTGATAAATAAGTTTTTTAAAATATATTTTTATATTAATGATTGATACTGAAATGAGAATGATATTTAAAAATCATCTAGAATTGAAAAGAATAAGAAAAAATATGTTGATGAAATATATTAAAAATAAAAGAATTATATTTTAAAATCTCAAAATATTATATTTGTTTGTTTCACTGATAGAGACGTCATCTAGTATCATATAAATAAGTATTATACAAACAGAAAAACAAAAAGAAATTGTGAAAACTGCGAAATCTATCATAATTTCAAAAAATTGAAATTGAAACGTATTAGCTAATTTACTTTATTAAAATTGGAAATATTTTTAATTTAAGCAAAATTGAATGTTATTTTAATTCAGTTTATATGTAAATGAATTTTAAAAATAGGTCTTTCATAAATATTCGTTGATAAAAAGTATCGGAAATTTGTCTATTTTCTATCGTAGAAAATTATATATCGTAGCAAAATTGCGATCCATAGATACCCTAAGTATTGCCAAAACTGTTCGATATCAGAAAAACAAAAAAGATAACAGAGTTTTAAAAATAAAATGAAGTGTTTGGATAAAATTGAAAGAAATAAAATTTTGAAAATAGACTAGATTTAGATAGAAGGAGAAAAAAAACTATGCCTAGAGTAGTAGAGTGTTTAAGACTTCGGCGGATATTTAAAAAAAATTTATTTTGCAATGAACACAAATTCAACATTCATTTCAGAATTTTGCTTCTTATTTTTGACATCCATCATCTGAATTTCTTATTAGTATATTTACCATTCTGATTTTATATGACTGCATTGAGCGTAAATATACATGATTCAATTATAAAATATACACTGACTATATATGTTGACTAAGAGTGTATTGAGTTCCACCCTCCCCCTCCCCTCGAAAATTTAATGACGCCGTTGATTCCTATATCCCTTTTATCAAAAGGACCTGGGATTGGGCGGGCGGATTATTTTTTAAAACTATGGGAGTTAAAGACCATCCCTTTCCTTTGTGACCTCTACTTTGGACGGCTATTTATTTTATCGGAGAGATAACTATAACATTTAATTTCCTTATGGTAGTCTCATATTAATATCGAAGAAAATATTTAACAAATAAAATACTACAACGGAACAATTATGTTAAGTTAATTTCCCAATTATTTTTTTCTATATCCATAAGTAATTTAATAATTATTATCAATAATTTTTAGATAATTATTAAACAACCTATTTAATTTCCACGAAACTATTATATTAATAAAGTTTTAATATGATTATTTAATTCATATTTATAACGCTTTGTTCAATGCTAGTATTTTCCAAATCATTTGGGAATTCGATAAAATTTAAAATATTATGCAAAGTATTCACTACATTTTAAGAACAAATTTATGATTCAATTGGGAATATTTTTTTATGCCATTACAAAATTTATGTTTTTGTTGATGTGTAATTATCATCTTCATATTCATTCATATTCAGTTTCATTCCAATTATCTTATTACTAGACCAATAACCAGAAATTTTTATTAGAAAGATTGGAACGTGGAGAAGGCAATTTTCTGTTATATTATATTTTACCATTTTAGAATATAAATCAAGTCATGACAATATCAGAGACTCGCAGGTACTCAAAAACGGGTACCCATACTGAACCGCAAAATGATAAAATTTAAAAAACGAGAATCCTGGTTTAAAGAATTTAGTGGTAACTAAATAGGCATAAGTTTCAAAATTTGTGTTTCAATAATAAATTTTATTAAGATGCCGAGATTTTATTATTTATCTTGTAATACACTAATATTAGTTCTTCTAATATCGTGGTATCCAGGTTGAATAAAAATTAACATTAATTAAGCTTAACTTTTAAAAAAAGAAATGAAAGCCCAAAATTATTTTTAAGAAATTGAATATTGCCAACCTACAATAACTGGACTTAAAAATCGCCAATAAAATTTTTGGGGATAAAATTCATCTAATAGTGCCCCCCCCCCCTCCTAGCAAAATAATGGATACGCCGCTGCTTGCCACCATATTTATTCTTATTATTTTTCTTAGGTATAACTCATACGTAGTAATCGACTGTTGGATTCGATTTGCAAATAAACACGAATTAAGCATTCGCTTATTTAGATTTTGCCGCAACTTTACCTTTTATCAGAAGCTTATGAAACCAATTATTGAAAGATGAACA